TTATGCAAATTGTAGAGCTTTTCACGCTGCATCTTTTAGTATATTATATGAAAAAAAGTTCTTAGAAATTTTTCTATTAATATCGATAAGAAAATGTCGCGAACTTTTTTCCCATACCTTATGTTATAATGAGTGTTGATAGAGACATAGAGAACAAAGAAACACTTTCAACTCAGTCGTGTTTCACAATGATTTCACAACAAACTTCGCTTTCTCGGAAATATGTCTGTCACGATCCGTAATACGATGGGAATGCGTTGCTAAAGTGTCTGCCATATTTGTGGGGAAGTGCAAATTTATGCCTCTATACACTTCAACACTCGTTTTCGATTGTGTTTCACAAAAGGAAACGCTTTGAAGCTCTACAAATAGATAGTTTAATTGGTCAATATAGCTGGGAATGAGAACACACCAATACAAGAGACCTGGATTTTATATTTTAAGAGTTGTTGATGTTGAATGTGGGAATGTGAAGTATTTCTTAAGTGATTGTTTTTGTTTCTACTCCTATGACATTTGCTTTTAAACGATTTTGGGGAAAACTGAACGAGATATTTAGAAAATACTAGCATCATTATTTATTCTGGGCCACCCGTGATTATCTCTATTTGATAAGACTTTGTTTTTTCCAGGGTTATGCTTTTCTTGGCTTTGTTGTATCTATGGTATGGATTTATTCAGTTGCACATGAAATTGTTAATTTATTAACAACATTTGGCGTTGTCTTTGGTATCAGCAATACAATTCTTGGATTAACGCTTCTTGCATGGGGAAATAGTTTAGGCGGTAAAATATATTATTATTGTTTTGTTGCCTTTAATTATCTTTGCTTATTAGATTGTGTTTCAAATATTGTTTCTGCTCGACAAGGTTATCCAAATATGGGCATATCAGCTTGTTATGGTGCTCCCCTTTTATGTAAGTATTAATTGATTTGTCTATGAGAAGATAAAATACTTAGGGCAGTCCAAAAGTAGTGGCGGAGGTACTTTATTTTCTTACAGAAAGCTGTAAAATAAAATTCTTTTTTATGAACAGATAGAGCGTCTTTCGCTCTATTTTTCTATGCTATTTGATTACTATTCAACTGGTATCATAATAATAAAATTTCGATAAGATCTGTTTCATTCGCATGTTTGCTGGTAGCATGAACATGAATGCTCGTGAGTATTTTTTGAATAAAGTTTGATAGAAACAAGGTAGAGAACTGCGGTTTTCACTGTTGGAAAGACGAGATGAAGATGCATCGAACCA